TTCCATGTCTTTGAGTACCCCATCTCCGTGGCCACAGAGCTGTGTTTAGAAGTGGGAATTTGACCCAATTTGCCCAAGTATGATATTCCATCCCTGTGACCACCAGTTGATTGATCCTGCAAAATCCTCAACTATTCAAATCAGAGCCCTTCTGGATTTATGAATTTGGGACTAGAAGGCCAGTCCCTCTTTGGTCAGAAAGGTGGAAGATGTACTCTTGGGAGTTAATTTTGATTCTGGCTTCCTGAAGGAAGTAGGTCTTAGAAAATGTGGCTATGCAGAGAAAAGTGGAGAATAAAAGACTATTTTTACAATAACCTTTTGTGAATGGCCAGAGAATAATTTTCCTTCCTTAATTCCACTGTGATTCAAATTCAGATACACTCATAGGCCATATCAGTCAATGATGGACTGCATATATAATTGTGGTCCTATAAGATTATAATGGCTATACCATATAGCCTTTGTGTGTAGCAAGCTATACCATCTAGGTTTGTGTACGGACACTATGATGTTCACACAATGGCAAAATCGTCTGATACATTTCTCAGAATGTATCCATGTTGTTAAGCAATGCATGACTGTACTTTTAGAAAATTAAGATTAATTTTTATAAGTCACAATAAAAATGTCAACATTGTTATTAGAAAGGTTTAGAAACAGTGATCAACTCAGTAGCAGTGAATATTCCTAACTTGCAAATTGTGGTCTGTAAATAACATTTCTCACTAAAAGGACTGAGAACTCCTTGAGAGAAATGGTTGATTCCAGGTCTAGGGCAAGAAATGGGATCTTTAAGATCTTGTCTATGAGTGCAAAGAAGCTATCAAAGATTAATGGGATTGTGTCAAAAGGAAATAACAGTCAATGTAAAGGGGCAATTTTGGGAATCAACAGTGATAACTGCAATGGGTTGAAATACATCATAGATGCTAAAAATCTATGAGCTCATAATGGTATTAAAAAGAGAAGCACCTCACTGGTCACTGTTGGAGGATGCTAGAGAACCAACTTATTATTCTGAAAACTAGTAAACAAAGTGAAAAAAATCAAATATTTACCCTACCTTTCCTTTATCTCAGAGTAATTAAATTGCTGATGGAGGAAAACTTCTGTATAAGAGAATTATAGCTAATAAATGCAGAAGAAATGATAGAATGTGACAATTTTGCAATTCTTAATGAAATAATGGATCTATGTATTAATCATCAATGGCTGCTTAAATGATTAGGTGGAAGGTGGATGAGAAACCTTAAAATAGATGGATCAGGCTGACCATACCTACACCCAACAATCAGTCTTATCACCACATAAGGAGTGACAATAAAAAATTATGGGCTATTATAGACTGAATGTTTGCATCCCCCCAAAATTCATATGTTAAAGCCCTAACCTCCACGTAACAGTATTTGGGGATGGAGCCTTTGGCAGGTAATTAGTGTTAGATTAGGTCATGAGGTGGGGACCGCATGATGGGATTAGTGGCCTTAATAAGAAGAGGAAGGGAGAACGATCTCTTTCTCTCCCTGCATACATGCACTGAGGAAAGGTCATGTGAGAACATAGTGAGGAGGTGGCCTTCTGCAAGCCAGTAAGAGAGACCTCACCAGGAGCCACATCATTGCCCCTTGATCTTGGACTTCTCGGACTCCAGAAATGTGGGAAATAAATTTCATTGCCACCCAGACTACAGTATTTTGTTATGGCAGCCTGAGCTGACTTAAGACATGGGCCTACTGCTGTGATGAAATAGGAAGTACATGGTACCACCTAGGAGATCATTTTTCCAAATATATCAAATTTACATCTGATCAAGTATCTAGATTTAACTTCTAGTTAGTGGGAAATACAGGAAAATTATACTAATAGGATACAATCAGCTAAATCCAAGTGTCAGATATTCCACAGGACAAATGACCCATTTTCTCAACAAACAAATGGTAAGGCTGGGGGGTGGGGTGGTAGAAGATTAATAGATACAGAGAGAGAGACAGGGAGATGCAGGGGAAGAGAGGGGGAAGGAGATTAAAAGGGACTTAAAGCACATATAAACTAGATGCAGTGCATGGACCTTGTTTAGATACTGATGTGAACTAACCAACTATAAAAAGAATTTATGTGACAGGGAAATTTGAACCCTAACTAGATATTTGGCAATATCAAAAAATCATTGTTGAAGAAATTAGACCTCTCACATAGTGCTGGTAGGCATGTAAAGTGCTGCAGCTGCTTTGAGAAACAGTTAAACAGTTTCTCAAAATGTTAAACATAGAGTTCATATATGGCCTAGCAATTCCACTCCTATGCAATATACAAGAGAAATAAAAACACATGACCACATGAAAACCTGTACACAAATATTAACAGCAGCATTGTTCATTATATCCAAAAAGTGAAAACAACCTAAATGTCCATCAACTGATGAACAGATAAATAAAATGTGATATATTCATACAATGGGATATTATTCAGTAATAAGAAGTTATGAAGTCCTGATATTCATACTACAATGTGAATGAACCTTGAAAACATCAGAATGTTTTTCATTGAAATGAAAGAAGCCAGACAAAAAAGGCTACATAACTGTATGATTCCATTTATATAAAATGTCTAGAATAGGGAAATCCATGGAAGCAGAAAGTAGATTGCAATATATAATACATGTACTAATTAAGATAGTGTGGTATTTGTACAAGGATAGAAAACTAAATCAATGGAAGAGACTAAAGAATACAAAAACAGAATCACACATATATGGTCATTTCGTCTATGGCAAATGCTCCATGGTAAATTTCAGTGGGGAAAGGGTTATATTTTGATATATAGTGCTAGGCCAACTGTACATCCACCTGGAAAAGAAAGATTCTTGACCCCTACCTCACACCACACACAAAATTTAATTCAGTATGGGTATAACCCTAAATGAGAAAGCAAAAGCAATCAAACTTGTAGAAGAAAACAGGAAAAATATCTTCATGACCATGGAATAGGCAAAGAATTCTTAAATTGTATTCAAAAGCACTAACTATAAAAGATTCATAAATTGGACTTTATTAAAACTTAAGAATTTCCATTCATGAAGACATCACTAGAGGATAACAAGGCAAAAATCTCTCCTTGAGAGATTTTCACAGTATATATATCTAATGAAAGAGACTTGTATTCAGAACATATAATAAAATCCTACAGATAAGAATTAGATGAGCTGGGCCGGCCCGGTGGCGCACTGGATAAGTGCGCCGCTTGGGAAGCGCGGCGGCGCTCCCGCCCGAGGGTTCGGATCCCACATACAGACCGGTTCCCGCTCACTGGCTGAGCGAGGCGCGGGAGCAACACCGAGGGTTGCGGTCCCGTTGCCGGTCCCCGGTCCGGTACGGGGGCAACACTGAGGGTTGCGATCCGTTGCCGGACATGGAAAAAGACAAAAGACAAAAAAAAAATAAAAAATAAAATAAATAAAATAAA